TCCTGTTTTTACCCCACCCTTGTTTCTTCCTTTTGCATTCTTGAGCCACAACCCTAAGAAGTGACACTGCCAAACCAACCCCAGGCATCTGGTACACGACACTCCCTGGAGATCTCCACCCTTGTAACGCTAATATAATCAATAGCGTCCATAAGTCAATTTTCCTGGGAAGTGAATATAGGACAAGTATGCAAACACAGAGACTTAGTTTCACTTGACTCAACAGTTGTCATGGCTCAGGGATCTATCTGAGCCTTAGCTTTTTTGCTGGAAGAATTCGATTTGCAAAACAAGTTGCTGCAATTAATTTACAGTCACTGGATTTCTACCTTAGCATTGCTATTGCTCCTTCCTATCTCTCTCCCTCACCCTCCCGCTTCTTTAGGATCATCTCCACCTGTGAGGGACTACAACTCCCAAAACTCTCAGCCTCCTTTTGGCCATGCTGGCTAAAATTCCACAAGTTAGGCCATCCCCCAAGCAATTTGGAGATGCAAATTGTTTCTGAGGGATGGAATAAGCCGGATGAGAAGGCTGCATGTCCACCATTATCCAGCATGCCTGAGAGATCCCCCTTTCCAGAATCCTTTGTAATATGCACAGATTCCTTAGCAAATGGACTGGCGTTACCTTGACAAAGAAAACAATGTAGAAGGAGGTCTCTCTATTTAGGAACTTTTTTCCTTCTTATTAGAAGGAAGAAAACTAAGTAACTAAGTATCTTCTCTGTGGGATAGTGATTCATTAAAAAACATGTACCAACACACACACACCCTCAGGGCTCCATATCTCCAGAACAGAGTTTCTCAACCTTAGCTCTTTTAAGAAGGATGTCCTTCAGCTCCCAGAAGTCCCCTTCTCTGGGAGTTGAAGTCCACTGTCTTAAAGCAGCTAAGGTTGAGTAATACTGTTCCCGAGGACACTGCCCAGGGTGTTGTCTGAGAACTTTGGAAGTTCTACATATATTGTTCAAAGTTATCTATCCAGCAAATGCTTACTGTTGTTTCTTATCAATACCATTCAACACGCTCAGGCAACTACAACTGCTCCTCTGTTCTCTTGTTTTTCCCTGCCCTCATTTGACATCAATGGAGTGAAAACAATTCCCTTTCTCATTACGATGCTCTTGTTGACCGGCTCAGGCACATCAAAGAAAAGCTTACTATTTAAGGAGGATGCTTTTAGAGCAATTGAAATGCCATTTTCCCAAAAGACTGCAGGGTGACCAGCTTCCTACATTCTGGTTTGTTGAACATTTCTGATGACCAAGACACACTTGAAAAATGTACTTTGGGATTGGTGGGGAGGATAGCATCGACTCAAGTAAATCGAAATAGGTCCATTTAAATAAAGTGTATATAGGGAAGAAAAGAACACTCTGGAAACAGTTTCAGGATTCAGCCTCAACCCACAGAGTCTTACGGTGCTAAATAATATGCACCATCTAGGTTGTAGATATAATAGAAGGAGAGCTGGTTAGTGTATGGTGACCATAAAATCAGGAGCTTGGCAGAACACACATTTTTAAGCATGTATTGCAGCTCACAAGTGCTTATGCCTTTTGGTATATTTTGTAAGGTAGAAAAGGTCCTATCACATTCTTGATTTCTTTGACACAAGTAGATGGGAAGCTTTTGCAACTCCAATCTTGTAAAACATCTAAGAGGAATTGTGGTGGCCACAGACGACAAACATCTCTTAATACATGACAAATAACTCTCAATTAATTCAACAAATGAATGAACCCATACTATTCTTACAAAAATTGAGAACCTTTAAGCCAATTTTTCCCAAGGTGGCATTGTCTAAATCAATGTATCTCAACCTCAGCAACTTTACAATGTATGGATTTGAAATCCCAGAATTGAAGTCCACCCACCTTAAAGCTTCTGAGGTTGAGAAATACTGTTTTGCTCCAAGTGATCTGGTAGGGTAAGGAGCACAAAGGAACGATAGTCTCCATCTTGGAAGGGAGCCAGAATGGGGAAAGCTATTTGCACAAGAAAACAGTTTAAGAAAGGAAGCGTTCTACTTCCTTCTTTCCCCACAACAAGCAACTTCCCTGAGCACCTTGCTTGATTAGGCATAAGAGGTCAGGAAGGGCTGCACTTGTTGGTCAACTGACAAGAACAGTTAGCAAAAGGAAATTTGCAAGGTCCTAAGAAAATTTGTTACAATTAGTTTTACTCCCTTTATTATTCCGGACTAATGGACTTGCTCACAGTGGAAACATGGCTCTTCTTATTTTCTCACAGCAAGTAATGAAACAACAAAAAAGGCATTCATCTCTTATAAAAACTTAGCTCACTGGCTGCTGTTTAAAAAAAACTGCAGAAGTTCAGTTCTTGAAGGCACCTCTCTTAATTTGTTTATTTTATTCCATATTATTTTATTCATTGATTAGATTTCTGTCTAACAAATATATCTAATTTCCTGCTTTTTCCCAAGGAATTTAGGGTAGGTACACAAGCATCCAATGTTTCTCATTACAGACTATGGCAAACAGGTTGGGCTGACAGGAAATGACCAATTTTAAATGATCGGGGAGCTTTTGTCTTTGAAGACAATTAGAACCCGATTTCACAATTCCAACAGCTTAAATACTGCCCTGTATAAATGTGATATATTGATAGGCTGCTTCTTTTCCATAATGAAAAGCAAAATCATATATACATGTTCCCCAGACAATTCCTAAAGGATGGTGGCTGCATCCCTTGGGAATATAGGTATTATTTCTTTACATGCTCAAGTTAAAAGATAGACTTTGAAATTGGATCACAACTTTTGTAGTAAGAAGGGCCAAGTATTTGAGAATAATATGAGAATGCATCTAAAAATAGCTTACACAAATCTTTTAAGATACATTGATTTTAGTTTTTACAGAATTAGCTGTAGACTTCTGCCTGCATGGTTTTCTTTCCAACATTAGAACCTTTTTAAAAATGTAAGAGTAAAACATACCATTCCATTCAGTGTACTTTGGATGCAGCAAACAAAATCTAAATATACGTTGCTTCCTTAAACAATAAAGTCCAATGTTTGGTGACTCATTCTACATAAAGTTTGTGTGTTTGTGGAGGTTACATAAATTACATTAAAAATATGTATAATTTATGTAGATATGTAGTTAAATATACACCCTTTCCCAATTGGTTCATAAAATAAAGGGCTTTCAGGAACAGATACCAGCATTTCCTTGAACACAGCACTTGATTAAGCACCAGGATAAATTATATATTGCAAACCATGGCTTTCCTTCAACAGTAAACAAATGCAATAGAATAACTAAAATGCAAGCAACACTTCAAATATCACCACAACAGAGTTTTAATAAACATCAGGAATACGGAGTTGAAGCTAGTTTACAAAGATGTTATAAGAATTTATGAAACTTTTGCCACAACATCCCTGGAATTCTCAAAGAATGAGAAAGGATGTTTTAGATACTTATGCCTATTTTTCCCAATCAACAACCCAAAACATTAATTTGTGATCCACCAATGCAAACCTATGTTCATGAGGATCCTTGCTTTTATTATTGCAAGTTGACAGCAAGTACAGGAAAGGTACCAAAGCAGTGATACAAATGATCCTGCTAGAAAGGTAGAAACACCTTCTCTACTCAAGTGAAGGAGCAGGAGAGTTCTGGGCAGTAGATCTGCTTCATCAATCTGCTTACATCAGATTGCAAAGTAGTGCAGACTATTGAATATATGTCATGCTTTGCAAAGTCAGAATTTTTCATTGGCAGTCGTTATTTATTTATCTGACTTTCTGAGTATAGATAGGCGAGGCCAACTTTGCTTCAGTATCATCAACATGTCACAAAATGATCCACATAGCTATGTAATTATTGGGGGGGGGATGATGAGGAGGACTAGCCACTTTCTTTGCTTCCTTGAACTTAGAGGAATTTTAAAACCACCCATTCCTATTCAATGATAAATGGGCATACTGCAACCCTCTAAATACTGCTAAGAACAACTCCTCTCGTTGATCAGAGTTGGGTTTAGCAACATTTAAATTATCTCTTAGGCTCTTTCGTCAGGGATAAAAACTACAGAATTAAGCCCAGGACAGGGTGCATACTAAAATGTCACAGATCAAGGGTCAAGAAGGCACAAGAGGTGAGAATGAATCCACACAAAAGTTTTCGGGGATTGAACCCAAGGTCTTAACTATACAAAGTGCAAGCTTAGTCCTTCTCAGGCGTTTGCTCGCTCAATCCAAACTAAGACTCCCATGGCAAACTTGCTGGGAGAAGGCAAGGTACTGCTACAACCGAACAACTCTATGCCCATGCTTCCCTGCATAACTTTGCCCCAAGTCTGGCAAACTTGCCTTCTTTGCCATCTTGTAGGAGAAATCCCTCATTTGTCAACAAGAGGGAGGGGGGAAGGGGCATAATCCAAAGTTGAAAAAAAGTCCAGATAAAAACATATCTGTTTGCAAAGAAAAAGCGGGTAGGTACCTCAACTCCCGAAGGTGGGCTGGCTGGCAATTGGGTGGTTGTGTGTCTGAGGATGCGGTGCAGGAAAGCTAAGTGATTCCACGGGTATTATTACTATTGGGCTGCACTGTGCTGCCATATAGTGATGTTCAATATTTGAGCTGGGCTGAACTGTATAGATTTAGGACGGGGAAAAAGCAGAAGGGGGTTGGTTCCAAGTCTTTTACGGGTGGGAAATAACATATCCAGGCCCTGAAAGAATGAGATCGGGAGGCTGGCTCCGAGGGATGGCCGGCGTCCGAAAAATCACTGCCGCCACGGGAGCCGTGCAAAGACACGGAACCGGCTAAAGCTGCGGGCGGGCGGGGAAGCCTCCGCGATGCCCCACGCAATCCCCGAGTTCTTTGGGTGGGCAGAAGCGCGGGTGGGGGCCAGGGTGATCGCGGAGACCGGCCCTGCAGGGGATCGAAGCCTGGAAGCGGGGAGGGGGTTGGTGAGAAGGTAAGGGGAAGCAAGCGTGGGGTTCGAAGGACAATCTGCCGCATCTCACCGTGGGTATAGATGTTGCCCAGCTCGTTGTGCAAGTAGAAGAGGCTTCGGAGACAGCCGGACCCGGAGCTAGCCGGCCGGTAGCCCGTTAGCACGAAGCGGTTGAATTGCAAATGAGGGGGGGAGCTGGCCCAGTCCAGGAGCCGGGCTCCCCCCAGGAAAGCCATGGCCGGGCTCCCCCCCCAGGGTCAGCTACTGCCGGGCTTCTGCATCCTTCCAGCTCCCCTTCCTCCTGCTTCTGCCGTTGCTGATGGGGCCGCTGCAGGCGGGGACTCTTCCTTGGGCTTCCCCCCCGCTCCTTTTCCCCTCCGCAGCCTGAGCTCACAATTCTGCCCCGCCCACCGATCTCATTAACATAATAGATGCGGGGTGTCTCCCGCCGCCTTTGCCCGCGTTTCTCGCAGGCCACGCTTGCCCTGCCCTTCTTCGTTTGCATCCTCTTAGGCAAGCCGCGCCCACTACCCTTCGCTCCATTTGCATAATCTCTGCACCGCAGTTCGGTACGCACGCTTGTCCAAAACCAGGGTTCTCTGCGTTGCGTAATACTATAGGATGTAGGGATGCAAACCACACCCATTCTATTTTGGGAGCCTATCAACTCTCCAGGAGAAAACTATAGCATTCTATTATTAGCATAACCAAAGGCCCTCCTCGCATCAGGGCTCGCTGTTAATAAGCGTCAGCTTTTTGCATAAGCATTGAGACACGCCCGTCGTCTCCTTCCAGGGAGGGCTGTGATTGGGTAGCGCGGCGCGCGCTGAAGATAGCCCGAAACAGGCAAAAGACGCCCTCCAAAGGCTGAAGGGTGTGTAAGGTTAAGGCCTCATGATTCTAAATCCTAATTCATCGGAAACTACTGTACACTAGTCTGTTAAGCCTAAGCGCCTTCAGCAGACTTACATCTCCTTAGAGGAGGACTATTATAGCATCTTAATAATTATTATTTTATATCATATTTCCATTACAATCTAGAATATATAGGTGGTGGTCCTCCACTTACAACCTCAATTGGACCCAAAATATATGTTAAGAAAGACATTTGATAAGTGAGTTTTGCCCTATTTTATGACATTTCTTGCCACTGTTGTTAAGTGAATCATTGCAGTTATTAAGTTAGTAAGAGGGTTATTAAGTGAAGCTGGCTTCCCCATTGACTGCTTGCCAGAAATTTGCAAAAGCTGATCACATGATCCTGGAAAACTGCAACCAACCACTAATATGAATTAGTTGCCAAGGATTTGAATTTTGATTACATGACTATGGGGATGCTGCACTAGTTGTTAAGTGGTAAAACAGTCATAAGTCACGTTTTTCTGTTATAATTTTGAACATATTCTAAACCAGGGGTGGGTTTCAACCGGTTTGCGGCGTAACTTCCGGGAACGGCGAAGGGCCCGCCTGCGCTCCTTACCCGGTTTTGACGACTTCTGCGCTTCCACGCATGTGCAGGACGCATACAGCGCCTGCGCGATCCTCCAGGAGCAGCTGGAGCATCGCACAGATGCTAGTACGCATGCGTGCGCCGTGCGCATGCGCGAGAACACCGCCGGCCCCGTTCCAACCAAACCGGTTGGAACGGGGCCNGACAATCTCCAGAGCAGGGATCCTACGAGGAACTAGGGACTCTCGGATGATGACTACCACTCCCCCACCCCTTTTCTGGTGTTGCGGCTGATGTAGCATCTGAAACCCTTCTGGGCACATTTCAGTGAGGGGGACTCCTCCCTCATGGCCCAGCCAGGTCTCAGTAATACATGCTGAGTGCATGTACAGCTGCTTGTGCTAATCAGGTTGTGCTGAAACTGAAACAGGCTGTTTGCTGTTTGCTGCAAGGAGGCAAATTGCTGGGAGGCAGAGGCCAAAGGGTGGGGGCTAGTGGGTGGGCGGGGCTACATTCAGTGTATAAGACGCACCCAAATTTTCACCCTCTTTTAGGGGTGGAAGTGCATCTTACACTCTGAAAAATAGATTTTGTAAGTACAAAAACATGTAAAAAAATCACCCAACTAAATATGACCAACTGTGTGCTAACCCTTTAAGGCAGGGGTGTCAAACTGGTAGCCTGCGGGCTGGATGCATCATGCGCTGGCCACGGCCACCTCAGCTCTGCAAAGGGAAAAAATGTCACAAAACATCATGATGGCAATGTGACGCCGTGAGTTTGACATCCGTGCTTTAAGGATAGCTTGATACATTTATCCAGATAGTGTGCTATGTATGCCTCCTTTGCTATAAAGAAACTTCAAGCCAACTTTCTTCAACTTGATTCTGAGGGTGCTGCTCAGAGCCATTTCAATTTGTCATCTAGCACATCTGCAGGGAACCAGGTTACAACAGTATTCTCTAGATTTATTCAACATCCAAAAACTAAAAGTAGCATCAAAGGAATGCAATACCTGATAGAAAAGTGTGCAGAACTAGTCATTTGTATTTTCAAAATGTGTGCTTTTTGAGAACAACATTTGCAGGAAAAAATTAGCAAGTGAGAAGTTTAAATCTCTCTTCTCCTCCCAATTATCCTGCAAAGCTCCTTTATACTTTCTTTCCTTGCATGTTACCATTATTCTTGGAGTCAATGGGAAAATTAAAAAAATAAAGGGGAAAATAAATTTATTAGAATTGCAAGCAGGCAGCACACATACAAATATATACAGTGCAATGAAGTGCGGCATTTTGTTCTTGGAAAAAAAAAACATCAAACCAACAAAATTTTACACCTGCTAGTGTTCCCCCTCCTGTAATAATGATCTGAGATAAAAACAGGTCTGGGAACAATTGTTTTTATGAAATGTGCCTCTAGAGTTTATGTAGCAGAAATCATTTTGTCAAACTCTTAATATAATTACAATGTGTTATATAGATCACCTTCCCTACCAAAATGATAAGCAAACCATAAGGTAAAAGACAAATCTAAACATAACCATTTCAACCTGGAGCAGAGTCCAGCAACTGCTAGCAAAAAACAGTTTCCGAAAAGTGCAATTAGTAAATAGAACATTGAGTCTTTTACATTAGGCCTTCAAATTCTTATACAGCATACTGAAAATAGTATCACAAACAAGTTGACTCTTAGATAAGCCACTTTTCATTTATGCTGTTTCATACCACATTGTAAAAAGATATGTCCTGATCTAATTGTTGACAAAAAAATACTATTCTTACTTTGAGATTTCTAAAGAAAAGTGATTGAATTCCATATTCTTCTAGTATCAATTCAATATGCAGACATTTTAATCATTATGATTCTTGTATATGCAGTCCATGAGATGTGTATGTCTTTCCAGTTGCATATTTTTAAGTTTAACATAAACATATATTTTTTATTTTTGTTTTTGGTCTTGTCAATTGACTGTTTGGATGGGAAACCAAAAAGGATGTCTATCAGACACATACTATGCGCGCTAGTATACTATGCATACTAGTTTCTTCAATTTAAAACATTGAGAGTTTCATAAGATTAAAAAATCTCATTTTTCCAATATTTTATAAACAGACTGTTATCAAAATATACCAATTCACAAGCACAGTAATTTCTCCTGAGTCATCAAAATGTTGTACACAGAATGAAAAATAAAATACAATTGAGTTGAAATAAAGCCAATGTTTCTGAGATCTGATTAATTTCTGTTCAGTTTTCCAATCATGGGAAATTCAGATGAAAACCCAATGTTTTTTAAACTCCATAAATGTAATTGCTAGGATTCATCTGCTGACCGTGCTCAGGTTTCTAATAAAATCTCAAATGCACATCTTAACAGCTGGCTGACCATACCAATTTCATTTACTGTCTTGTTTGCAAATGATTCATGAACATAGACCAAGTGTTGCATATAATATAGAAAAAACATGCAGGTGTTTCTATGCATAGATCAAGTGAAAACAAATACTGTAACACTGCATGTATATAATTTATGCATCTTAGGAGAATGCAATCTGTCACAAAAATACATATGTAAATTTACTGTGTAAATAAGAATTTTCAGTAAAAAGCTAAAAAGGAGACAATAGAAGCAATATATTCTAGTTTTTTTCTGGGGTTTAAACTTTTTAAATAATGATGACATGCACACACTCTCCAGGCTTTCAGCCTTGATTGCCTTTTTGACAGGAAATATTTAAATGTAGGTATGGGTAGAGAATATATCTACAATGGTTTGTTCAATAGAGAATGCTATACAAACTGTGTTCCAGTCCCGTGCCTATAGGCAGACATCCATGTATTTTAGATATTTCCCATCAGTGCAAACGGACGTAGTTGAAATTTGCATCATGGTCTAACTTATAATTTTTGAATGCATGAAGAGGGTAATAATGGAAATTATGTTGTTGGTTTGAGCTCCAAGCTTGGCGATTTGGTTGCAAACATTTCATCCCTATTCGAGGACACATCTTCCATACGCTTTGGATTGTGCTTGTCTGGGAGAGCACTGGCCTTTAAATATCTTTCTGAGTCCTGATCTGATTTTGGGTTGTGTGATTGGCTGGCTAGGGTTGCTTAGTCATAATCCTTGTTTTTAAGTATCACCTGTGTAATTTAAATTAGTGCTGTTGTTGTTGTCTGATGACTTCTGATGATGCCATGGTTTTGTGTTGATTTGATGGCTGTGTGTGATGTGGTCTGATTTATTGTGATCTGTCAAGTTATAACTTTTTTTACAGCTTGCCTGTTCATTGGTGTTTAAAGGTTGCCTTCAGGATCATGGTTGATGTTGTTCTTTCGTTCTAAATGGTTTGTAGATTGGGTCAATATCAATGTGTATTTAGTGATTTATTGATGGAAAACCAAGTTTCCAGAAATTCCCTTTCCCTCCTTGAGTTCGCCTGGGTTACAACTGTGGTCCTGGTTAGATCAAATTTGTCCTTTTGAGTCTTCATGGATGGACATGGGGGATAGATGGTCATGTGTCTTGATGGCCAGGAAGTGATCGTACAGTTTGGTTGGTAGTTTTCTTCCTGTTTGACCGACATAGTGCTTCTCGCAGTTGCTGCCTTGGATCCAATATACAATATCTGATCTTTGGTTTGTTTCTGTCTGCCCTTTTGGTTTCAACAGGGACCGTCTAAGAGTTGAGGTTGGTTTGTGGGATACTGTGAGGTGGTGTTGGTGCAGCAATCTTGCCATCATTTCTGAAATATTCTGGATGTAGGGGATTATGATATGTCTAGTCATTATTGTTTTTGTGGTAGTTGTTGTATTGCTTTGTGTGTTTGTGTTGTTTGTATGCAGGCATCTCAAGATGAAGTTTTGTGGGTATCAATTTTCTTGAAGGAT